CCGGTCTCGTGGGCAGTGGCTCCATTCTCTGGGGCTCCCGCAGCGGTCTCTTTCTCCACTCCAAAGGCTCCTCCTGCCCCCCGGCATCTGCAGGCTGGGGAACAAACTCAGGGGCAGAGGGGTTTAGGGGCCGCCACCCCCGCCGCCTCCTGGCCGGGCCGGGGCCTCCCGGGGGCTGGGGTCCCGCGGGGCCCATGTACGGTGCGAAGCCCCCGGGTATGGGGAGCGCGGGGATCCCGGGGTTTCGGGGTACCCGAACGGCGGGGGTCTCTCTCGCCGGGGCTGCCCTCCATGGTTTTAATCGGCGGACGTTGACGACCGTCTCCCACCCTGGATCAGCACCGTCCAGGGGGAGACCTGCTGCACCACGGTCCAGGTTCCGCATCAGTAGGTGGGCGTGGGGTGTGCAGCCACACCTTAGAGCCTGCCGAGTCGAGGGGGGGCTCCACACGGGGCCGGGCGCCCTGCTCTTGCCGCTGATGTGCGGCCTCCCCCTGTTGGTGGGCCCGGCCACGGGTCTCTCGCAGGGTCCCCATCAGGTGCTCCATGGGCTGGCTCCCTTTCTCCGGTTGCGGCGGGGGAACGCCGAGCAACAGATCTGCTGGTAGGCGAGACTCACAACCAAACATCATTAGGAACGGTGTTTGTCCCGTTGAAGTGTGTACCGTGGTGGCATAAGCGAACAGGGCATAGGGGAGGTGTTCATCCCAATCCTGTTGATTAGCGGCCACCATACATTTGAGCTTTCCGGCTAAGGTCTGGTTCATACGCTCCACCATACCATTCGCCTGGGGGTGATACGCCGTAGTTTGGTCCTTCTGGATTCCAAATTCCCGGCACAGTGCCTGAAATAGCTCTGCCTCGAACTCACTACGCTGGTCAGTAATGACTCGTTCGGGGATCCCATGTTTAAGTATGTAGTGTTCCACAAATGCCCGGGTGACCACAAGCGCCGTTTTATTGGGGATGGCCACCGCCACGGGATAGTGCGTGAAATACTCCACCGCCACGAGGATATACCGGTTGCCTCGGTGGGATCGTGGGAATGGCCCCTTTAGGTAGATCCCAACTAGCTGGTTCGCCCGGCTGACGCGGAACGGCCTCAGGGGCACCCGATACCGTGCCGGTTTCTGCCCACACTGCTGACAAGCGCGGCAGCCCTGTAGTTAACATCTCTTAGCCACTGTGATGATTATGAGAGAGAGGGGGATGCAGACTCCAAATATACAGCAGCAGCAGGCATCGTCAGGGTCGGGATCGAACCCACGACCTCCTGCGTACCAGGCAAGGTAGTTAACAATTGAAATATTTCCACGATGGGGACCTGCATAACCAATCAGAGGAGTGCCAAGAATGGTGCTGCCTCAACTCCAGTTTGCCCGAGGTGCCCTTCCCGTCGCCCCCCTTCGGGTGTCGTCCACGATCACGAACATCCTTTCTGGTCACGTCCGACCATTGGCCGACTTCTACAAACATAAGAAACGACACCCACACGAGTTGCCCTTTGGAGTCTTCTCTGTCGCGTTAGACAGCACCAACTCGTGGCACGGCTTCGTCGCCTTGCCGCTTGAAGCTTCGCAAATCTTCCCCCCGAACGTCGCCGCCACTACCACTACCCACTGTGCTCTCCCCGATACCACCTCTTGAAACCCCTTTCTCTCTCGAACCTTCTCTGTGTGCCACTAACTTCCCACCAGACAATCCCCGCTGTTCTCCCCCCACGGTTCTCCACAGTCGACTCTGGGTTCTTCTTTTCAGTTGGCGCCCTTTTCCCCCCGTTTGAACCTCTCCTCCAATGCCTTCAAACCGCTACCTCACCCCCAAACAGTCGTTCTGTAGGGCCACTCTACATCGATAGGAGGCCTCGGCCTGCTGCCTGCAAGTCCCTTTGGCTGCACATTGGCTTCTGGTGTGTGCTTCATTATTTTGGCCGTCAACACAATTTTTAGTGTTCTTCACAGAGGCAGACACTTGACTTGGAGGCAACACGTTAATTACACAGCCCCAACAGGGCTAACTACATAAACGTACACACGTTAACTAGACCCCAACAGGGTAACTACATAACTGGGTCAGTCAGTAACATCCTGACTGACCAACGATGGCGAGCGAAGACCGAAGATCGGAGAGAGACTTGGCGCCGAGGGTTGAATCCAGAGAACAGCCCGGATCGGGGCTCAGGACTCGGCCTTCATCGGCTGCTGCATGGCCCGGGCTCTGTCCCTGGCCACGCCTCTTTTCAGATCCTTCCCGAAGACTCTGGCCCCTACATCACGTGTCCCTCTACCCTCATTTTGCCCCCCCCCTTGCCACCTCGTCCGGTCCCGCACCCTCTCGGGGTCACCCAGAATGCCACGTCCTCACTCGACCTCTCTCTCACTGTCACCAGGACTATGCCCCCTAAGTCCCGCTTCCATGGCATTCCCACTCTGGTGCCCGAGAGAGGCCCAAGACACACAGCTCCACTCTTGTGACGTTAGCTGGCGCTAAATGCCATAGTGACTCCATTCATGTCACTACACATATAATGGGGGGGGGAGGGGAGGGGTATTCAATAAGATTAACGATACATCTGGAAAAAATTAGGGTGAGAAAAACTATCCCCGTGGAGGCCTAAGTAAAAGTGGGACTGACTCGAGAACAGAACGAATCTCGGTTAAGGAGATTTCAACGCAGCAGCCAGGTGAACCGTAGTGAGCACGTGGAAGATTCACGAACCTCCCCTCCCTCTCCCATACTCAATGTCCTGTATGCATTAGGGCCCTGTAATCTCAGTGCAGGAGTGTCCGAGCTATAGGCTCTAGAGACGAGGAAGAATGACACAGCACGTAGATCGGGTGGGGTCCATTCCTAAACCTTAGAAAAGGTCTTAAATACCTGAACCCAGAATGGCAATGACCTCGCCAACCACCTCCACCACCCTACCTCCACTTGCCTACCCCAACCTCCTGCTCTGATGAGTACGCTGTGCCTGGTACCATCAATGCCCCCCACCTGGGGAGTGGCAGTGTTGCAGTTTAGCGCCACGCTGCGCTGACGAGCCCGGCGACCCGAGTTCGATCCCCGCTCATGGCCACCGAGACAACCCAAGTAATGATTATCATGAACCGGTCCTGCTGGGCCTCCCCTCAAATGAGTAGCTGGCACGGTGGGTAAACATCATCGCCACTGAGGGAGACAAAGGCGGCCGGGCGTGGTGCTGGCCAAACACCCCCTCGTGTGCCACCTTCATAGACACCGTTCGCTAACACCACTTGCCCCAAGAGTCTGTTACAGGCTATGCGGGGGATCTTTGTCTTTGCCCACTGAGTAATGACATTAACATGTCAGCCATGTTGCAATGTAACTTATCGAGGCAGGACGTGGGTGATACCGCAAATGTTGGTTTATAAAAAAAGAACCGTTATGCGATGCCAAAGGACAGCCAACTCCAGAGGCAAGATGAGGATGATGAGGACGTCGGCATTGTTAACATCACCAGCATCATCAACGCCATCACCACCACCACCATCAGCTTCATTCATTTACCAATAGCCAACATCACCGTCCACCCCCACGTCCATCGCCATCACGAACCGCTGCAATGACCGCCAAGTGTGGCCCGAAAGTCAGGGCACATAGAGATTGTTGTTGTTATAGATGGTGGCCCAAAAGTCAGGACACATAGCCACCCTGGTGATGAGAGAGAGAGAGACGCTGACTCCAAACATAGAGCAGCAGCAAGCATCGTCAGGGTCCGGGATCGAACCCACGTCCTCCTGCGTACCAGGCGCCTGACTCTTTAACTGCACCGGTGGACATCTGAAGTTGTTATTGCTAACTGGGCTTTACCCACAACACCCAATATTAGATTTAATTTATTCATTATAACGCAATTTTAGTTTCCCGTAAAGCGGTGTTCTTGAGCAATGCAACAACAACAACTTCTGCACAAAATGTGGTGCCAATTCGTTACGAAATCAGCACCCACTGGTTTTGTGTTGGAGAGTAAACCCATTGCAACATTGACAATTCGAGTGCCGTGACGTTTCGCCAGTAATTGCGACTAGCGTCATACAAGTTACGAATTGGCACGTTTTGTTCACGTGACAAACCCCTTATTGATTGGCCGTGTCTTCAGTTTTTTAGTTTCAGTTTCATTTATTTGGTATAGCCCTGTGAGCCATTCGGCTCTTGAATCGGGTGCAACCGCAACAAACAAAAAAACATGAACAAGAAAACATCTTAAAGTGACTACTACACGCAAACAGAAAATCCAGGAAAAAACTGCAAAGTCTTCCAGAAAAACGCACCGTACACCAACGCTGTGTGCAAAAATCCCATTTGGATGCAAGTCAAACAACAACAACCTCAAGACAACTTAGATTAAAGCCATCAGTCTATCTCCGTACTACAACAAACAAACATGGCCAAACCAAAAAAACTTTTCGAAATCACCAAAATAAAGCCATAAGTAATTTAACAGTGATCGTCTGGTGGTGGCGGGTTTAACGGCACCACATTCATATTTATGCGATCTATGTGCATAAAAACCTCCACAATGGATAACAGCAAACAGCTTCTTCGGGCAACTTTGCCGGGAATTTTTGTTTTATTTTACTCTGCTGCACGGCAAATAAACAGGTTGAGCTGGCTGAAGTAGTCACTAATTGTACGCATTTTGTGTTAAGTGACAACCCATTTACTAATTGACTGCGTCAAGTGGTTAGCAGTGGTGGCGCACATTCGTATTCACGCAATCAAACCCATAAAGCAAAAAAAAACCCGCCGTGATAGAAAATTTTGGTTGCGAAAGTCCGTCAATTTTTTTTCTTTTTTCGTTAAACGGCCGCTCAGGATTGAGCAACAAAACGTAGCCAGGACACTTTTTTTTCTTCTTCCATTTGCGTCGGCAAAACCCCAGTGAACTCTCGCGGACCACCTCCCACTAATCACCCACCCCACGTACCAACAGCGCGATTGCATTCACGAGGGGGGGAGGGGGGGCGTTCTCATTCGCCCCACAGCAGCGAAGCGAACCTCTGGCAGCGTCTTGCGGTGGCTCATGACGATTGGCCACCCGGGTGAGGCGCAGTTGGCAGGATGAGGAGTGGGCGCGCAACGCCCACAAAGCGGCTCTCATTGTTACGTCACGCGGTGCTCGTTCATTGTTACGCCACGCGGCGCGCAGGTGCTCACTCTGCCATATAAAAGGAGGGAGCGTCTGGCACAGGGACCATTCGGCTCTTCGCGGAATCGACTGCTTTCACGTGAGCGGTGAGTTGGGCGGGGGTGGGATGGCGGCTGGGATCCTTACGCTGGAAGGGGATTTCTGTAGGAGTTCAGATTTTTGCCCCCCCCCCCACCCCCCAATTGAGACCAAGCCCTACGCATTCGTGAATATTTTTTGCTACATTCATTGGGGGGGGGTGGATGGGGGGGGTGCGGGGGGGGGGGGTGAGTTTCTTTAGCCCACGATAGATTTTGTCCCAGAGCTCGCCGCTCCGATCAATCTTCGCGATTTATCCCCAGCTGTCGCCTATGGCTCGGCGACCGGGTTCCAGTGATAATTTGTTACCGTGGTCGTCGAGAATACAACTTGTTTTGTGATTGCGTTCACGATGCGGTCGGTTGTTATGCAACGCGAGATCGTGCAGCAGCTCTCCTTGTATTGCCACTGCTGGATGATGGCCTCCTGTAGCCGTGTGGGTCGTTGGGGGTGGGTGGCAGGGACTGGGTCAGTGGTTCTTCTTCTTAACCTGGGGTGCTGGAGGTGCCCTTTCTTGGGGGGGGGGGGGGAGACATGGCCAGGTAAGTAATCGAAAATGAAAATTAGGCACGGGCGTGTAAATACAACTGCTTTGTTTAATCAAACCCGATGGGTTTATTAACATTATAAAAATTTTCTTGGTTCTTTCAGTAAAGTCACGTAGAAGGGAAATAATAAAATAATAACACTATTATTTGAAAGTAATAAGATAATAATTTCGTTTGCATTATTTTATTATTTCCCTTCTACGTAACTTTACCGAAATAACCAAGAATATTAATTCCTGCAGACACGAAAGCTTTAAATCGAAATTATAAAAAAAAATTGTTTAAGCGATTAAGAACCAATGGGGCGGTGAAGGTTAGGACCCACTGGACTGGACCGCGCTTTACACGGCCGGTTCACGAGGCCTCTTTTTTTTCCCCAGGCGTGGGCAGCAAGGAAGCAAAAATTGTAAAACTTCCCTTTTGCTACTCCACCGCCGCCACCTCGGACGCCTGCAGTCCCCACGACCGCGACCGTGAATTGTTGAGCGGTGGCTACACTCGGTGCGTGTGTAGACGCGTGCGTGCGCATTGTGCCGTAATTATTTTTGGCCGCTAACGAAAAACTGGCGCAATCTCAAGGTGGCTTACGCCTTTCGTAAGAATGTTGGCGCTAGGTTTGGCTACTTGCCCATGCTTGGCAATAAAGACGTGAAAACCGCCGCCGTCAACGATAAGCGACGCATTTGGCAATAGACGTCTGTCGCATTCAATTTGGCGCTCTAGAATGGTGCCTGGATGAATTGACATCACGTTTGGCTGGACCTTCAGATAAACACAAACTCTGGGCACTTTTGAACTACTTCGAGGTACCAAAATTAAGGCAAGATAATGTCCCACTTCAGTAGAAAAAAATTATTGCTGTGGTTTTCACACCTGATGATGATTACTTGTGTTGGAATCGAAACGTGATTAAATTTAGTTTTTTTAATTCACCCACGTGACTTTACCGAAACAACCAAAGAGTAGGAACGTCACGCTACAACTACAGTCGACGGCGAACGGTGGCGATGCGTTCAAATGATAAGATGGCAGCCGCAAGAGACGAAGCTTTAAAACGCGCGTGGCACGCTCTCCCCACTGCTTCTGTCTCGCTCTCAGCTCGACATCATGGCGTTTCCGACCACGCTGCACATCATTGGCGGCCAAGGTGGAAACAAGTTCTCGTTCAACGGGCTGACGAATGCGGCCACGCTGCAGAAGCTCTCCGTGAGCGTTGGGGGCTGGCAGGTGAGGGGCGTGAAGGTGTGGCTGACGGACGGGCGCAGGGAGACATTTGGCACCATGAACTCCTCCGCTCAGGAGTTCGAATTCGAGTCGGGCGAGTTCATCAAGAGCCTCTCGCTGTGGGGCAACGGGGCCGGCACTCGCCTGGGCGCCATCAAGTTCAGAACGAGCCGCAGTCGCGAGTTCTTTGCCAAGATGACGGACTGGGGGCTCAAGACCGAGTACAAGATCGACGTGGGCTCTGGCATCTGCTTGGGCGTTCAGGGCCGAGCGGGGTCCGACATTGACTCCATGGGCTTCCTGTTCATCAATGCCATAAAGTCGTCGGTGATCCAGGACATGAAGTACCCGACCATGCACCAGGTCCTGCCCAACGTGCAGATGGAGGAGATTAAAGAAATGGAGTACAAGAACGACACCAGCGTCGTGCAGTCGTACACCTTCGAGAGCTCCAAGAAGATCACCAAAACGTCATCGTGGTCCACCACCAACAAGATCGAGTCCACCTTCAGCCTGTCGGTGAAGGCCGGCATCCCCGAGGTCATGGAGGTGGAGACCGGATTCAGCTTCACCATGGGCAGTGAGAGCACGCACGCGGTGGAGGAGTCCGAGGAGAAGACGGAAACGCTCACGTTCCCCGTCGCTGTTCCGCCCCACAAGACCGTCACCGTGGTCGCCAACATCGGTCGCGCCGACATCGACCTTCCGTACACGGCCATGCTGCGCATCAGCTGCGTGAACGGCGCATCCCTTGACGCTCCCCTGAGCGGCGTCTACAAGGGGCTCGCCTACACCAAGATGACCGCCGTTGCTACCGAGAGCTAGAGCGGCGTTTCGCAGCGCCCTTTTTATTTGTTTTGGTGACGTTGATGAAGTGTTCTAAAGGAACGCTTTTTTTTTGGCTGTGTAAAATTCACCAATAAAAAAAGAGGCCTACATTGAAACGTTTGCTTTTCCGAGTCCCTCGGTTATTTCCCGGTCGATGCGTGTGGTGCAGGAAGACATTTCCCCATTGAGGCACTGAAAGTTACGAAAGCACCAAGTGTTTGCGCATACAGGTGTCAAGGCAAACTTGGCACTTTCAGAATCGATTTTCCACTTGTGGAAAGTCTGATCAAAGCGTCTTGTTGAACCCTGGCTAATGAAATGCATTCATTCATCATCCATTTGGGTTGATGTTGGATCAACCCAAATGGATGATGAATGAATGCACCACTAACACCACCACCAACACCACCACCACCAACACCAGCAACACCACAACCACCAACACCACTACCAACACCACCACCACCCGGCTCCATGCCCATCAATGGAGTCGAGCTGACGAGTGCTCTGCTCCACTCAGCCCCCTGCCCCAAACCACCACAGGGTAGTGGGAGGGGGTGCGGGGTGCTAGGGAAGGGGGCGTGAGGTGGGGGGGTTGTCTGGGGGGGGGGGGGGGGCTTGGGGGTTATCACGCGAGAGGAGGGACCCCTAGGGAGTGGGGGAGATGGGGGTGTTGGGGGTCACGTGGGGTTCATTGTTTTACTGCCGGCACTGCTCCAGAGTTGCGGACCGAGTCACGAATCGCGACCGATTCCCAGACGCCGTTTGGGTACTGGCCGGGCCTGGAGCGGTGTTGGTGCGCGCCACGCGAGGGCGCTGCCGCTCCACCGCAGGGACTCGCGGGGCGCGCTGACTAAGGGGCCACCCATTTAGTATGTACACAAAAATCGTCCCCCGAGCGTCGGGTGGACAATCCTGGTGCAGTTTGGATAATTAATGAGCTTCAAGATACTCTTCGAGCCATGGGTAAGGTTTTACATTTTTGTTCAAGTAACGAGACATTGACTGGACACGAAGGGACTTTTATTCGTCTGCGTGCCAACATCGCCCTCACTGAAGTGGGCGTCGGTGCACATCGCAGCAGCACGGGAACGGTGCCGGGGCCACAGAGCAACAGGAAAGGAACAAAAGAATCCCGTCACGACCTCAGCGAAGATTTGCAACTGCGCACAATGAATAGCATAAGAACATTAAGTAGAAAATATAGTGAATAATAGGTAGGAAAAATGAATAATAAAATGTATTATAAAATTTATTAGTAATGACATTTATAAAAAAATACACGTAAATAAAATTAATAAGTTACATAAATTTACTAATTTAAATAACATAATGAAAAACATTTGATTTAATAACTTAAATAAAGTTAATTATATAAGAATATTTCGATTTAAAGCTTTCGTGATTGCAAGGATTCATCTTCTTGGTTCTTTCGGTAAAGTCACGCAGAATGAGAATAAAACAATAAAACAAAATGAGGCAATAAAATTCTCACGACGTCTTCTTTGGTTCTTTCGGTAAAGTCACGTAGAATGAGAATAAAATAATAAATTGATAAAATAAAATAACACAATATTCTCACGACGTTTCGGCCACAACATAAGCGGCCTTCTTCAAGTGAAGGAACAGAACTGTCGGGACGCTGTCGAAAATATTTATAACATATTTAATATTTTAAATAAAATGAATCGTGTATGAATAATATATTAATAATAAAATAAACAACAGGGTTAATAAAATTAATAATAAATGCACCGGTTCCTCCCCTTGTTAAATGGTGGATGTTAGGGGCAGGCGAGTGTGAGTAGCTGCGTCTTGTACAGAGCACGGATGAACTTATTCACTCGCACGAACGCCACCCACCCATTGTACATCACGTTAAGCACGGGGGAAATCACTGCTGTTGAGAATATATTTTATTTTTAAACCAAACAAACCACGCGTGACAGAACCCTCCGCGTGTAGGCACACGAGCTGCAACATCAAAGTGAAGGAGTGTGCGCACGTCAATGAGAATGGACGTGAAGGGTCGTGAGTGGCAACGCTGCCGAGCTGCTCACAGCCCAGCTGCTCGCGTGGAGGAGGAGGAGGCGAGGCGAGATTCGGGGCGAAGCTTTCGCTTGGGAGCGAGAGGCCGCTTGGAAGACGAAACAAAAACATCTCCTGACTGCCGTGGGTGCCCATGGGGGGCGAGTGGGGCGCTGATCACGCGGCGGGGATTCCCCCTCGGCGTGTCCCTGGCGCCTGTGGACGACTCCGTGTGGGTGGAGCGGTGGCCACAGCCGTGAGCGCTGCGCTGGGCTACGAACCCAGCGACCCGAGTTCGATTCCCGCTCGCGGCCAAACACCGGCGACGATCATCTGAACCGGTCCTGGGCCTTCCCTGGGTCGACTCAACCTCAAATGAGTATCTGGTGCGTTGTGTAAACACGGCCACTGGGGAGACAAAGGCGGTCGGGCTTGGAGCTATAGTCACAACCACCATCTCGTACAACTCCCTGCGTTAATAGGTGCACGCTAACAGTGCTGGTCACACAAGTCTATGCAGGCTCCACGTGGATCTCTGTGCTTGTATTTCTATGAATTTTTTTAGATGCCTTTGAATTGTCAAATTACTTTATTTGGTGCACTGAATTGTGCTCATTGCTGTGTTTACTTTCTGCGCTATCTGATTGCGTTCGAGATATATATAATTATATAATTACTAGCCTATAGCCCGTTCAAGGACGGGTGTTTTGCAGTTTATCTGAAATATTCTATCGAAAATAATGACCCGCTCATTATTATTAATGAGGGGGTGGGGTCCACGTGAGTTACGTCATCAGCTCATGATTATTAATGACGGGGGGTGCCCATGTGGAGTGATGTCACCCGCTCATGATTATTAATGAGGGGGGTGGGGGTGGCCCATGTGGGGTGACGTCACCCGCTCATGATTATTAATGAGGACGGGGGCCTCATGTGGAGTGACGTCACGCGCGGGACGCACACACATTCCTGTCTTATGATATCAGTAAATATTTATAGCCCCATCACCTGTCAATACTTCAGGTGCGGCTTCCTGTGTCGGGCTGCGCGCTGAGCGATGTTCCCCTCTCGAGCGTCCGCAAGGCGCTGCCGCAGGCATCTTCAGGGGCGCGCCACTCGCAGCTCGAGCGGTGAAGCCGCCCTCGGACGACACGCGGCTGAGAGGAGACGGACAATGGACGCGTTAACACGCACACAGATTCGTCCGTGGTGAGTCTGTGAAACAACAAAACAATTAACAAGAAGCACGAATGAACCACGCGGGCGGTGGAGTTGTGCGAGCGATGGACGATGTCAGACCTGGCCAGGCGTTGATCTCAGCTGGGGCGATTGGCAGTGCAATGCGCGGACCGCTGCACCACCGCTCCACCCCGCAGGTTGCAAATTTACATCCAGTAAACGGGATTAGGAAGAGTGTCTAATGTTACGTTTGTAAATACGTCGACACGAAGGTGTTCAACTAATGCTACAATGCCGTTTAAGTTATACATGATACAATATCGTGTTGTTCCCTTTGCAAGAGATATTTGCACTCGATCATAGTGAATAATGCTGTTGTGTTCAACTGAAGGTGTTGAACGTGTACACGTGCCAAAGCTGGTTAACACACTCACAACGTCTAATAATTCGTGCCGTAATCAAAAGCAACACGCATTTTGAGTATCACACCACAGCCCAGTAACTTCAGAATGTGAAGGTTTTTCACTCAAAGTTGTGTCACGCACCGCCAAATGAGAACCCCTCCGACCGGTTCGGCTTCACGTTCCTGCGCTCAGCGTGGAAACAAATCTCAGCCGTGAGCAGTCACTGCAGCCTGAAACCCTTTGGTTGTCAGTCGTTAACAATGTGATAATGTTAATACACACAAAGTGTTTGGTGAAACAAAGACGTTGTACTTACTTGACGGTCACTTAATTTGTGAACCGCTGGTGTAGTGTATAGTGGAGTGTATAGTACACTGTATAGTGTGGTGTATAGTGTACTGTATAGCAGTGTAGTGTATAATGGAGTTTATAGTGGAGTGTATAGTGTAGTGTAGTTACAGTGGATGTGTAGTGTATAGTGGAATGTATATTGTACTGTATAGTAGTGTATAGTGTAGTGTATGGTGTATAGTGGAGTCTATAGTGTAGTGTATATTGTGTGGTGTATAGTGTGTGGTGTACAGTGTACTGTATAGCAGTGTAGTGAATAGTGTAGTGTATATTGTGTGGTGTATAGTGGAGTCCATAGTGTAGTGTATATAGTGTGGTGTATTGTGTGTGGTGTACAGTGGTAATAAATACAAAGTAGTTTGATGAAACAAAGTAGTTGTATTAACGTGCCCGTGCTTAATTTGTATTTTCAATTATTTACTTTCTAAATAAATCTGCCCATGTCTCGCACCCCCCAGAATGTGCATCTTGTATCCACAGGCGGTGCGTGATGCACCCCAGGTTAAGAACAAATGATCTATTTCCGGCTATGGGCTTGTATCTTGATTTTCGGGCTAAATTGTTCAGATTCCGATATAGAAAAAAATCGAGTTACATTCTCTGGAACCTACCCCTTCTGAAACCTGGGGACTGCCTGTACTATAGATGTGTAGTGTTGTAAAGACAAATAAACTTCTTAGGAGGCACACTTTGTTTGTTATTCCTTTCTTATACAGTCCTTAACACACAGAGGGGTATACGGTCCCCTCACCCGATACCCTAAGGAGGTACAGCCTCCGGACTCAGCGTCACCTACACACAGATCTTCTTGATACCTAAGGAGGCACAGCCTCCTAGCTTGGCGGGACTTGCACGTCTACCGCTAACCTCCTTCATACCTAAGGAGGTACAGCCACCTGGCTTGGCGGGACTTGCACGTCTACCACTACCCTATCCCAGAGTCCTCCGGCTGGGACCTAGGGAAGGCTATCTGACCCACCGCTGGCCCGGTGGGTCCTGACCACTGGATACGCCGAGCCTTAGCCCTCAAAAGGGCCGGAAGGCTGGTCCAGGGTCCTAGCTAGTCTTCAGCCCGGACTTCAGTCTTCGTGTAGAAAGAGAACTCCGTGAGCTCTGCGCGGTCACCCTTCTTATACTCGTTTGTGGCCAGGTAT